CGGTCACGATCTCAGAGCAGTTTATTCGACACCCCGCCATTGGGCTTGGTAACGCCGGCGCCTACACGTGTAAGGGATCCAATAGTCATGCCACAGCTACAAAGAATATTTACGTCGAGGGTAAGTTGCTATTTAGTACGATGGCCTGTTTGGGTAGTATAAATCTAGGCGACCTATACATGTAGTTAAGCTTGAAAGGTAAAGTAACGTGTAATTTTAGTTGTCGAGCCATCTCGAGTGGCCACGGTGTCGATTCTGGGGGGATCCTCCCAATGGTTTGAGCAGGGCGAGCCATCAGAGCTCATCTGTACGGCCACCGGCAGTTCCCTCGTCGACAGGCTTGAATGGGTCAAGGTACTGATTATCCAGTATGCTGAAGCCGATCGAAATTCCTAACTTTTCCAAATCCCTTATTTACAGGTGGACGACCAGCTTCCAACCGACGTAGAGGAGCACAACGAACCCGGACTCCTGCACTTCCCTAACTTCAAGGTTTGTCCTCACTTTGGCCCTCAGCGCGCATTTCTATTTAGCGCTTTTTGGCTGATCGCTGATCGTTGCCTTAGAGTAGTTGGATTGATGAAGTAATTATCGTCGGGGATAGTCTCTGTTCCTGTTCTTGTCATTCTTCCTTGTCACCCGTTCTCCTTATCAGGTCCAAAGTTGATGCAGTCGCTGCTGACCTTCTTCTAAGGAATGCGCCGTTCTTTTCACTCCGTTTGAAAATCGTCGAAACGTCAGCAAATATTTAGCGAGGACCTTTTTCGCTTTCTAAGGCATTTCTGAGCATAGCGAGCACATTTCTGAGCACGTGGATGTTCTTATGCATGGAAAGGATACATCGCTCTGAGGGTTATGTTTGTTACCCCTGCCGGGTATTCTACGAAAACCCCGATGAATGCTACTCCCACCTCTCTTACACAGACTTTATGCTTCAGTTCAGTCAGGCCAAAATGGGAATACAAGCAGTACTGTTGGGCTTTCATAGTGAACTAATCAGCTGGATCCTTACAGAACTCATATGCTGGCGAGTACGAATGTCGCGGTTACCGTAATAACGAGTTGATTGCGTCGAGTTCCGTCCAAGTCTATTCATCTACTGACGACACCGAAGACGTGAAGGTAGGTGGTATTAGTCTTTTTCCCCCATTCAAGGATTCGGCCTACTAAATAGTGAGCGTTTAGGTCGAGATCGAACCACCTCGTGTACGAATTGTCTCGCAAGGCGAATCCATCGTGCTCAAGTGTACTGTCGAAGGTGAGTGTTTGTCTGTAAAGTGGTACAGCTTAGTCCATTCTTGTCACTAATCACAACGGTCCATGTTCATGAGAGGCTCTAACAACATTAACCGATGCTTTAGATCCAAAGACGCGTGTAATCTGGTGGCGTACAGAAAATCTCACCGATGCCTTAATGATCGGATCTACGCAATTTCTTCATCTACATAACGTTGATGTGTGTGATCGTGGAATCTACTACTGTACTGATGAATTCACTAACTACGACTTCGCTCATTCAATTAACACTGTCGTCGTTCTGCAGCACTCACTCATCGCGTCTGTCTTAACAACAAATCTTTCTGATAGTTTACGCTGCTCGATATTAACAGGTCAGAAACAAATGCCAGCAGGGCGGGGGGTCGGTCACGCAAGTACCTCAATTTTCGTCAGGAAGCGAGGCGGCCAGGAATTTCGGCTGACGTTTTTCAGCGTTAGCTCTGAAAAGATCGCGGCTCCACGACTTCATTTTACTGGGAAAATTTAGTGATACTCCTAATCGCGTCCAACCGTGACGTTCGCGCTTTTTCCAAAATTGCGCGGACCTCCCCCTTTCTTAGGGGTGGGTTTCGATGAGAACCTTACCGCAGGAGGCATTCCCCAATCCCCTGATCTAGCAGTCACGCCCGGCGCAATTCTGCATCATGTCTTTTCGTTTGCTGTTCTTACTGTGTTTGATGTCTGAGACCAAGTGGGACATAGCCTGACTTCCGCCGACCCTTTTCTCCAAATGCGTCGACGGAGGGAAGGGGCGAGGGATTTATATTCAGCCCAAGCATCACGCAAGTATTATAATCCGACGTTCAAATGCGACCTCCTCATATTCGCCGACAGTTGCGAACGGCATGGTTACCTGCCCAAATAGGACTGGGAGCGTTCACATTTACACCTGACGTTCGTGTATCCTCTCAACTACGCTAGCACCTACCTGCGTCCGGTGGAAATTGGGTGAAAACCGCTGAGCATGAGTGCGAGGCAGTTCAATTGCCGTTTGAGGTGCGTGCTACCGCTTGAGACGCTGACGCTTCGCTCACTGCCCCGCAGCTTTGCGGAATTTAGGAACAATAAAAGTCAATGTCGGTGTGTCGTTTGAGTTACGAAATCTAACCATTTCATATCGACTAACAAAAAACACAGCTTCAGTTCACGTGATTCCTTGGACGATGGCCATGCTTGTGTATTTCTAACAATACGTTTCTATATTTGAAATTTTTTATCACATAATATAGTATTATATAATTATCACAGTATTATAGTGGTATATTTATGATTAATAGCTGAATGGGGGAAGTGGTGTAGTGACAAGTGGCGCGCTTACCACGCGAGCGGTCCGGGGATCAAATCCTGGGTCGTGAGTCGCCCGGGCCAACCAAGCCTTCCATCCCTCCGGGGTCGGTTAATTGGTACCAGACTTGTCTGGGAGAGACTAACAATAACATCAAATAGCCGCTACGATACTGAACGAAAGCGGAATGCACGGCGCACCCCATAGATTGATCAACGTCGGATGCCATCCTTTATCTTTGGTTAATATTTGAACAGTATAAAAATGTAACCTACCGTAATATTTTTTTCATAAAGTAAGGAAATGTTGAATGATATAATATTAGTTTATATTCATTATGCTAACGCCATTCTTCTAACACTTGATGTTCTTCTCTAACTAGTGATGTTAGGCTATGCCTCGTCGGTTGCCGCCTCGTACTAACCGTTCGGTTCTGCTAACCCAACAAGTTCACATCGCCAGATCTCATTCGCTGGCACTCGACTCTTACCCCAATTCAGGTGCCAAGAATGGCGAACACTTTGAATGGGCGCTGTTACGCGGCGGAAACATCGTACGAAAACTTGGCAATGAGGCCACACTTCACGTAAAAGGCGCCGATCCATCCAATGATTACGGAGTATACAGATGTAATGTCGAAGACGATAATGGTGTCGTCTACAGTGGACAGAGTCCATGGGCTATAAGTGCTTCTTTGAGAATCCCCTTTTTTGACTAATCAAACCCCCATATAATCTGTCTTAGCGGTATTCAAGTCCTGGTTAGGTTTCTTTTAGCGATACTTGTTAGTACTGTCTTTAGGGTAAGGTTGCAGTCTGTTTATACCTCGAAACTGATCTATCGTTCGTAGATTCGCATAACTACATATTACTGATGAAAATCTCATTTTCGGCTTCTAAATGCGAACATTGCTCATCGGGTTGAATTATATTGCCACTTTCAATCTTATGACTTTTTGGACATATAAACCCAAAGGCTTATAATTACTACAGTAGGCGCTAAAACTTGGACCCCCAGTGCTACGGTTCATTCCGTCTTGAATTTGGCCTAAAGATGATTAAGTGATGACCGTAACTCATACGACACATTGACAATCAAATTCAAAATTCTCTAGTTGCCCTAAAATAAAACACCATCCCCTAGATGCTCAGGTGGTCAAATTCGACGAGAAGTCCGATGCTTCGTTCACCTGTCCGATCTATTCCGTTCCCGGATCTAAGGTAGTTCGAATCCGATCTCTATGGCTAAGATATTTTGCAAGACCGATGATTCATTGTAGGTCGAATGGTCTCGAGTGGATGGCGATCTACCCCCTAACGCAGTTCCCAATGGAAACAAGCTCGAGTAAGTAGTGTTATTAGCAAGAGTAGATTTTCAGAGCTATTTGTTGGGCAGTTTTATTAAAATTAAGTGACGTAAATGCACATCTCGCGAATCAGCGTTCTTGTGGCTATTGCGCTTAGGATGCGTTCGTATGATGCGTAGGGTAAGAAGTGAGCCTTGGGCAAAGAAAAAATTACTGAAGTCGTCGAAAAAGTTGGAGAGTGGTCTCTTATGGGGTGGACGGAGTGCCAGCGTCGAAACACCGTATGTACCCACCATATACATAGGCTCTTATCGCGGCAACAGTAGAAGCCCCATACAGCCTGTGTCGCATTGCCCTAGTGGCCTTGTTGGGCACTTGAGCAACATATCTTCTGTGTTTTTGTGTAGATCCATCTAATCAAGGAACATATCGATTCACATAAATTCTCATGGAGCATGCCTTAAAGGCACGGGTCGGTATCAAAATGATGCCTTATTTTGTTTGAAAAGTAGTCAAGAACTCTGATGATGAACGTTACTTGAGAAAAAGCAAAAAGTGTCCCAGAAAAATGAAATTTCTTTTGTGAGGTCGGTCGTGGAGTGACGGTGAAGCACAGCGCTGTGAGGAGAGAAATGCGATAGAAATCGGTGTACGCGAATGAGTGTAATACACAAATACACTCACGTATACCGCGGTTGATAAGGAAATGACAGCGCTGGTAAACGGACAAGCACGCCTATGCGCGGCTACATGTTCGAGTCACCAGTGTCGCGGCTACTGGGCTTGGAAACTACTCTTTCGCACACACTGGAAGTGACTGACTGTTGACACCTAGTCCCGAGCTGTGGTTTTAAGGCAGCGATCACGATAGATTCGAGAAGGGTTCAAAGGAGACGTGGTGGTGCTCAGTGGCACGCAGGTGGCGAAAAAAGCGGAGAAATCCGTCAAGAAAAACGCAAAACGGACCCCCTTTTTGGCCGTTGTTTTCACTCGTGAACAGGTAACAGCTATAAGAAAGCGGACGTATGAACGAGAATCGTGTGCACTATGCAAACCAGGCTTCCAATCAAGTGTTCTAGTTGTGCGCGGTGCCGTTGCTTGGCAAACGCAGTTCGTTTGTACACGGCACGTTATTCCTCTAGCTTCCATGAACAATCCCCGCGCAACGTAAAAAGTGAGACCGATGACGTTGATGTCGAAATCCTCAATTTCACTATGAATTTTTTGCGGGAACTGCTGCATTCCAGTGTGTCTCAATATTTACCCTTTTTCAGCATCAAGGACTTCGATGACACTGCTGCCGGCATGTACATGTGTAAAGTAACATTCGATAATAACGTCGTTGAAGGCTTCGTTGACGCACAAATATTCGGTAAGCGTGAAAGGAAATTTTCGAAAAAAAATCCTGAATTGACGCCCTTCCAGTTCCGGACACCATCATTCAAGTTCTTCTTGACGTTTCATCGGAGTCTGGTTAACGTTGGTGATCGAGCATGGTTCGACTGCAAGGTTAAATTTTACCCACAGCCATGGAATCCATTTAAAAGTTATGAAAAGTATGTTATTTATTCTAGGTCACCGGAGATCCATCAGCTGTCATTTCGTGGTCCAAGGAAGGAGCAGATGAGTTGCCAGACAATTCTCAGGTGAGCTAATCTGGGATGATCTCTGCATCTTCTGAGGAAGTGATGTGTAGACGTTGTCATAGCGAAACACTAAGCTGACGAATAAAACGGTAACGAACACCTCAGTTCAAGAGATCGGATGCTTGGCGGGAGCAGGCAGGGAACGTAACTTTCATAAACTGCTTCGTTCATTGAGCTGATAGTAAGAAATTTCATCGTGATCGAACATCTTTCAACGTGATTCACTCCCTGACGAGCTGCAGGAAGGTTTTCGAGAAGTGTGGGTTCTTATACGGATATCAGAGAACCGGGGAAATTCTGTAGTCATACCCTACCCGCGTTTCACTGCAGATAGGATTAGCCCAAGTGGTTGTGTGCGCCCTTTCCTCTAGGAAGAACGTGATGTTTTGCCTGCACCCAAAATTTTCATAGCAATGGTTCACCTTGGCACTGAGCCAAGGAGCGAGTGCTCTACTGAAAAGAACTACCCATCATTAAGCTTCCCCAGTCAGAAATTATACCCACTATGTTCACTGTGCTAAGATTTGCTTCTCGACCTTGTTAGGGCAGGGTCGCTCTAGAAGGCTAGAACAAATGTGAGAGACCTAGAAACAATTCTTCATCTTTACCGCTCTATTATCTTTGCACACCGAAGGTCAGTTCTTATGCCAAACCCATTTCAATTTCTCACTCAATAGTGTGGGTTGGTTTGCTGTCTACAAAGTAATTGAATCCCATATATAGGAGCTTCAAGAAGTTTATCCCTCGATTGTTTATTTTAACGGCTCAATTTAGGTTACCGGAGGTCGATTACTGTTCAACGAGGTGACGGAAGATAACGCTGGAGTATACAAGTGCCGAGCGAAGACGAAAGCCGGCCCATTGGAGACGCGAACCGTGCTGAACATCGGCTCAGCAAAACGCAAGCGCAAGCATACCCGCGGTCGCCACGCCCGACGGAATCATCGACGGCGTGCTGCGACGATTGCATCAAGGCAACATAAGAAAAAGCTTTCGTTGATGCAATCAACGTTCGGCTCATGGTTTTCAACAAGTCATTAGCTATCGTCGTAGTCGTCGTCGTCATCGCCGTTGTACTGCCATCTATTAACATCTAAACACAAATCCCATAAACACACCAACACTGCCACTCCGTACGGTACGGCCACCGTCGTACGGCCTAAGACAAAGACTGCTACTACTGCTGATGCTGATGCTGTTGTTGTTGAAATCGCATGAATATCATTCACTCATAACCCCGTGTTTCCTTTCTGTTCTCTTGTTCTTTTCATTTCTTTTTTTTCTTTCTTCATTCTTCCTTCGTGCCTCTTCTTCATAGCTGTTGAATAGAGAGACCACGCGCTATATTCGCTTATGCTGACTTCCATCGGAATCGCTGCCTTGGTGCTGTGCATATTTACTTTTGAGTTTGTAATGATTTAACATAGTGCGATTGTTTGGATTTCTTGAATAAATGTTTTATCGATTGAGGTGATCTCATCGCATGACAATGTCCGGTCCAAATCTCCACTACTACTTCTAGAAAAGATCAAGAGAAAAAGCTTCCATGTTGGGTTTCACAAATTTGGAGGCCATTCAGCCATTATATAGAGCTAATGATAAATGCTGAAAATGTATAAAGGAATATAAAGCATTTGCCGTTGATCAATCCCTTTTTGGGATGCGGCACGCATTCTACTTCCATTTGTACATTCGTAGTGGCGTTTGAATGCGATGTGGCCTATACAATGACTTGCGGGGGCCAGCCGATGTACAAGTCAGTGTTTTTATCCTCCCAGACAAGTCTGGTACCAATTAACCGACCCCGGAGGGATGGAACTTTTGGACCCAGGATTTGATCGACCCAGACCGCTCGCGTGCTTCGTAGCCGTGCACTCTGCCACCCACATTCAAACTTCCGCTCCTATTAAAATGTATAATTCATGGAATATGTGAGGGTCACTTTCCGTGTGGGAGTACGTGAGGTTATGAACGAGACATCTGTAGCCATAGGTACATTTGGCCTGGGGTACTGCGAAATTGAGGTACAACCACCTTGTGACACCCCTCCTGGACAGATTTTTCTTGAAGTTTTCGTACTTCAACATCCTCTTCAGCTGCACGCCGCACTTAAAAATTTAATTGTTTAAGCGCTCACCAAAAATCACTTTTATAAGTGGAGCCATCCCAAGCCTGAGGATGCCTAGTGTGCGCCAATCATAGGTGGTTTACCACCATAGTCCCGCCCTATATAATTTAGGCGCACACCTCCGCATCCCCCTAACAGAGAATTAGCGAATAAAGTCAAAGGCTGAAGCAAAGGTAAGCTTAACTTCTGTGCACTGGGAGGGTACCATCCCTACGGATGGGAATCATATTCAATTTGCCAGCGAAAGGTATCCCCCAGCGATAATTCGCCACGGAACCATCTCTGCCTCACTACTGCGCATACGCCCCCGACAACCTGCTCACTCCCGCAGGTCTCCAGCCCCTTAAGCGAGCGAGAAACGCTCCTATCGTCCAAAAGAGCCACACTGATCAACGTGCAGCATGACGGAAATCAACGGGCAAGACATTTTTTGGGTTTCTGAGCCACTTCTCATGGCTTTTTTTTCTTCATCCTATCACACTTACCACCTCTACCTTTGATCCCTGATGTTCGTATCCAACCATGAACTTCGTCCTTCGAATTAGGATACATGTCAGTCGCGGACAAGACCTTGTGTGAGCGTGATCTAACTCCTGATGGGCGTGGCGGCCATTTTAAGTGTAGTTTTCGCTTTTTTTTTGTCACTCATTTCCAATGTACAGGTTTTAGGTAGACCATCGACACTACCGATCGTGAAGTCGATCGGTGACGAGGTATTTGTTTCATTTAAAAGCATCATTCTCAAAAAGAGAAAACTGGCTCCCCTCTTTTCTGTGATATGAGCGTATCCTGATCACCTCACCTGAATTCGCCAATTCGCTATTGGAAAAATGTGGCATTTCACAGATATGTGGGTGGACCAGGTCGGCAACATCTTGTGCCGCAGATTTTTGAGAACGCTAGATTTGTTCGGACAGGCATCGTGACAAGTTTTGCCTACCCAAGATGTGTAATCTCTACAAATAGGCTTAGGTATAAAACCTGTTGGAAACGATTTCTGAGCCATGATGTCGAAATAGCACTGAAATATTGGTGCACTAGTATAATTTAGCGTTTTTGCCCCACTTTTTGCTGTCACAGAGGAGATTGATCTAAATATCTGCTATTTGTAGTTATGTGCCTACTAATATTAATAAGGCATGTTCTGCAGTTACCCGACTGCAGCGTTTCGATCGATGAGCAAGCTTAATCTACAGGCGTTATAGTGGTACTCTTGGGGCTCAAGACGTAAGACCCCTTTCTCCTGCGGTGTATGCCCTATGCGCAATCCCCGCTCATCAAGGATGGCTTCCGAGTGTTAAAAAACCTTGCCATAAACCAAAATATGATGATAAACAACAGTAATCACAGCAGTAAAAGAGGTGTGCGTCATATGGCGCGACCCATTGGCATTGGAGCGCACAGGCCGTAATTACCACGTCCTGCTGTGGCCGGACAACTCGTCCGCGCAACACATTCTGTTCCGTTCCTCTTGCCTTGGCATCAGGCCAACGAAGCTACCCACTCTTTTTTTGGGACTCAGCGAGATTTTTGAGGGCCCAAATTATCACATCGATCAATTGCTGAAGTCTAGCAGCTGTGTGATACGGACGAGTTGTCCTGGATACTGTGCGCTCTAATGCCAATGGGATCGCGCCATATGACCGCCTCCCAGTAAAAGTGAATCTGATGGCGGAGACTGATGATACCGTTGATGTGAGAAAACATTAACAGAGAAGAATTCATCCAAGCAATATAAACTGTTGCACCCATTTTCGTTGCATTATTCTCGTACCTTTTTAGCAGCCAACTGCAAAATGACGTCCCCATTTCTCAAGTTTTCGATGGCACTTTTTGCTTTCTCTGAAAATGTTCGAAAAAAAATGAAAATGCTCACCATTCCCATTTCGATTTTCGAACACTATAATCTACGTCTTACCATTAGTGGTCATGGAATGTGGCCTTGAAACTTTCGACCCAAAAGTAAATCTTATACGACTTAAGGCTTTTCTCTCGTGCGGATCTCAACTCGAAGATGCGACGGTTGCACGTTGGGAGAAGGTGGATGGCGATCTGCCGCCAGATTCAATGACAAATCGTGGAGTACTCAAACTGCCATCGCTAAGCAGAGAAGACGAGGGCTTGTACGTAAAATACAAAAGCGTTATCTAAGAAAGCTAGAACTTCAGTGAAGTCACTTTTCAGGTATCAGTGCACTGCGATAGAAAACGACACAGTCACACAGTCCGTTATTGAGCTCCATGTTGACGGTAAGTTACATACCCTGTTTTTAGCAGCAAATGAAGCATGCTTCACAGGAGTCCAGTAATTGTGTGCTTCTCAGAGCAAGGGTAAAACCGTTCTAGGATATCCTCGATGGGGATCTTTTGCTTGGTTTCCTTTCTCACATGATTTGGTTTCCAGCACAAAAATTAC